ACCCATACATGCTCTCCACAGCTTGCAGTGGATCTGTCTCAAAATCCAGGCTGCAGCATCATCATGATGATTTCTTCTGGGCAGGATCCCAGCTGGGAAAGATCTTCCACCATCAACTCAGTGATTGGTTGGGGAAGAAAAAAAATAACTCTTCTCACTAAAGCTGGCCATACACCTATAGATTATCTGCTGGTTTTCTATTGTCAGATGGTGTAATCTCTCGCTGGGCCAAGCTTCAGTATCTTGCTAGTCGGCCCCGCTGGCTATCAAAATACCTGAACAATCTGATTGGATGTAGGCGTTGTTCAGGCGTTTTGAGAGCCAGCGGGGCCGACTAGCAAGATAGTGAAGCTTCATCCTTTACAATTTAGCATAGATGGAGGAATCTGTTGCACTTTTTCCATCAGACCATAGAAAATCTGCAGATAATCTATAGGTGTATGGCCAGCTTTAGACTGCTGAAGCGTTCTCAAAAGTAGTTAGCAAAAGCTAAATAAACTAAATTATGTAAAATAAACTGAACTTATGAACTTTTGCAAAACACAGGAAAAAAAAAAATAGGATTTTGCTCTTACCGTAAAATCCTTTTCTCAGAGTCCATTGCAGGACACTGCTCTAAAGATTCTGAGATGTAGGGTTATGCTGCAACCTCCAGGAGAAATGAAGGCAGTAGCATAACCTTATGTCTCAGAATTCTTCAGCGCTATTACAGAATTATTCCCAACTCTGGGCATTAGGGCCATTTTATGAAATGTACTGATTAGATGTTAGAACTCTCATAGGATGCACATGGAGCTTTGCATGAGATACGTGAAAAATGACAACATTAGCAATACAGCAAAGGGATATAGATTTGCTACAGTGTAGGTAGATTGTACAGAGCTATCCTGCTGCACATAAAGATCATGATTGCAAGTGACAGAGACAGAAAATCATGCCAGTGGTATATGATAGCTTAATGTTTGGGAAACTCTGCTTTAGGGGTTGCTAGGAGCTAAAACATGATATAGGTACTACATTTTATGTCAAATTATTTGTCCCAACACAAAATGTAGACAAGGAAAGTCGCTATGACCTTATTATTACTGAATTTTGTGTTTGGAGCTCTCATTGGGGTGATCTCGCCAAAGCTGTCACTAAAAATATGTAGCACAGGTATGCACAAACCTGTGTGGGTGTATCTAAAGAAGAAGTCCGGGCAAAATTTTGATTAACCTTTGCAGTGCTAGTTTTGGTCTAGGCTTGCTCTTAGACCGGTCCTTCAAGCCTAGCTCCCCCTCCGCTGCAGCGGTCTAAGGTCCCTGCGTCATCATGTTCTATACACTGTGTATAGAATGAGGATGCTGAGGGGCATGCAATTTCTGGAGCGTAGGAGGAGACAGACAGGAGGGAGCACTGTCACAGCTGACTGGCTCGGAGAATCCAGTGAGTATAACTTTTTATTTTCCTCCCTAGACCGAAACGAGCAGATAACCCTTGCAGTGCAGGGGTAGCCCCACTGCAAGGGTTGGTAAAAGTTTTGCCCGGAGTTGTTCTCTAAACACATCTATACCCAGAAACAAACAATGTAGTATTTTACAGCTTACTCGCCCTTAGTTGGGGGCTGTATTCGTTTCCTTTTCAATCTGGCTTTTTTCGGTGGTACAAACGCTATAAAAAGGAACTATAATCACTCCAGCGAGGTGATGTCTGTAAATTTCCTTGTTGGCGTTGACATCTTCTCTCCAGCTACTTTCAGGTTTGGGCTCTTCATCTTCTTAATTGGGCAGGCTAGGATGATGTGACCCTTGGCCATGTATGTGCAGCTCAGTGTATATTCTAAAGAAATGTGCAAACAGGCAGTTTGTATTGCAGAAGAGACATAGTATACCTCTTTCCCTTGGGGGAGGTTGGGAAGTTTAGAAGAGAACTATGGGGTCACCTTCTTATCCTATAGTTCTCTTTATGGTCACAGAAGGACATATACTAGTGTCCTCCCGTGACCCAAAGCTCAGTATGTATACTCAGTATACTGTCGGGATCCACCCAGCTGCGTGAGTGACAGCGGGCTCTGCCTATCTAGAGGCAGAGCTAGCTGTGCCCGCCCCCTCCACTGTCCATCCCTCCAGTCAGCGCTGGAGGATTGGAGAAGGGAGGAGGAGAATTCCTGCGGTTAGCGGTGACTCTGCAGGGACATGATCGGGAAGTGAGAGAGCGACAGTATGTGTTCGCTCACTTCCCGATCTATTAAGCCGACATGCGACAGTTTCATTGTCACAGGTCGGCTCTAACGATAAGGATGAGTGATTTTCACTCACCTCATAGTTCTCCTTTAGGTTCCATTCTTAGAAAAAATGTCCTAAAATGAATGTCCACATTCACAGTCAGAAGTTATTGCTTTTGCCATATCAATTGGATAACAATGGTTCTATGTAGGACAGAGTGGCTAAGATCACAGATGACAATAATTTGCACTTCAGCATAGAGCGAGTTTCAATACCTTAGGTTATATCACATTTGGAACCTTTACTATACATCTATAAAATGGGGAGAATTTATCAAAACTGGAGCAGACAGAATCTGGAGCAGCTGCGCATGGCAACCAATCAGCTTTTCTGCTCAGTCAGTTAAGATTTGAAAAGGAAAGAAAAAAGCTGATTGGTTGCTATGCACAGCCGCTCCAGTTTTAATAAATTCCCCTCCATGTGTTTTGTTAATTGAGTTTCATGTAAGTAAAATTTAACTCTATTCACAAGAGATTCCAGAACGCATTTTTAACTCTTTTTTTTTCCAGCCACACAACATAAAAGGTTACTTGCGTTTTTTTCTATAGTAAATCATAAATTACAAATAATCTTAGACAAATTCATTTACATCACAATCTCAAATATACAGTGGTCACACAAAAAAAGGTAGTCTAGGAGCTAGTTCTGACATTTTACTTTTAAAGCGTATGGATAATGGGCTGCTGCTTTAATGCCCCTCCTTCTTAAGATGCTAGATGTCCAGCTTTGATGCCGATTCAATGGTTTCAAAACTTTGAATCATTGACCTGGAGCATACATACTAATCAGAATTTCTGACTGCACTATGACTTCTCTTGCTATAAGCTTGTCCTAGGTCAGTGGCAAGTAAGTAGTATCTTCAGAATGTCACCAATGGCACCCTCCATATTGCTCTTCCTTGAAGTGGTAAATAATAAAGTGTCCCTATTTTCAAACTGTTCTGTTACAACAAAGAAGTGCTACTTTGGATACTTTTCCGTCAACTTACACCTTAAAGTCTGTTGACTTTTGTGCAAGTTCAATGGAATCAGCAACTATGGAGCCAACGCTAGAGCGTCTCGTTGACAGATCTGATAAAGAGATCTGCCGCACCTCTCGTCGAGACAGTTTCACTGGATTTACTACGAGGGGTGATCTGTTGATTTCTGCTTTTGTCAATGGGGTAAGAGGCTGAACTTGAGACTTTAAGCTTTGTGGCTCTAAAAAGTCCTCTGGTTCATCTCCACTTGAGAAGTGCCTTCTGATTTGCCTGTATGGGTCTGAGGCCTGGTCACCAGCTCCACCAAAATCTCCAAGCCTAGAGGTGTTCTGCAAGATCCTGTTGTTTACAGTGTCTTTTGATTTCCTGTTGGCTTTGTTGTTTTCAATCTTTGAAGCCCATTTCTGTTCCTTAGTTGACACCAGTGGTGGTTCGTCTTTGTTTTGATGAGGGTCACCAGAGCCATTGTCTTCAAAAAAAAAAGTAAAATAACTCATTCATTATTAATCATTTTGTACACCTAATGCTTAAAAGACAATATAATATACTGTTTTTATTAAAAAAAACTAAAAAACACTTACTTTTAGAAGTGGTCACATTAGACTCTCCCACCAGGTCTCTTAGCTTCTTTTTCAATTCTCGGCTGGTAGACTTGTAAAAGAAAAGGTCCTTTTCCAGCTTTTCAATCTTTGCTTCATATGCTTTGGTGTTTTCTGCCGGGACTCCACTGTCCGTGTCTAAGGCAGAAGCATAAAAATTATAAACTATAGCAATAAATATAAAGCAGAGACAATAAAGAGGAAAGTCTTAGAGGTCTTACCAGCACAAATGAAATGCTGCAAAAACTGCCAAGCATGCAATCCAGCTGGGCAACCTTAAAAACATCTAAATTAAATAAACCATCCTAGAAGCTCAGATTCACCCAAGGCAGCTGAAGATCTGGAGTGTGGTATTTTTAGGAGACGGAATGATTCCAAAAGTGGCAGCCACTCAAAGCAATTCTGAGTCTTCAGCTGCCTTGAGTAAGTCTGGGTACCTTTTGTATTTCAATGTCTTTAAAGTAGAACTCCAAGCAAACAACTATATACACAGGTGAAATGCATACAGGGAAACTGCTTTACCTGCCAAACAATTTGTATTTCTTCCCATTCTGCCCTGAGACTTACATACAGTACCACTGGCACACATCACAGTTCTGTCTGGCAGGGAAGACCTGCTTTTTCTTTGTTGCAGTTTAAGGGAGCTTCACACGTTTAGGTCTCCTGAATGAAATGATCCTCAACATTTAAAATGGACAAATATGACTCTTGCAACTATCCGCTCCCCACATGTCAATCTAATATATACAGATATACTGTTTTTACGAATTCAGCATCCCCCTATTGTGCTTGAGGTCTAACCTTGATGATTTGATTGTTCATGGAATGTCACTTATTGCAACCTATCTTGATTTGAATTACTGATGCACACTGGTGATGATAACCTGGCGTGATCGGTTTTCTTTGTTTTTTGTTATTGTGTTTCTATTAGCTCCTTTATGTTGATGTGCCTTTTGTTTATATGCATGTAAAACCTTTCAATAAAAACTGATTAAAATTTTTTTTTTTTAAATGGACAAATATGAAAAAGTGACAAATCTGTCTATAAGTAGCATGGGAAAGGTGCACATAGAGGTGGGCAATTCACCACAAGGGAATATCACAAAAAATCTCCAGTACTCAATCCAGCTAACCAGTAGCAAAAACTTTACTATACTTTACTGTCGTTACTAAATTAGAACATTTGCACTCAAAATGTTTTTGCAGCATATCTTTGCAAATACACATTAAAAGTGCCTTGCTGTGGCAGTGTAAAGTGACACTAAACTCAGGAGTTAAATCTTAAAAATCAATTCAAGTACCTTAACTAATAACAAGAATGTATCTTATTTGTGTATCACTCCGCTGTAGATCCTCAAATCATCTCTGAATTGGTGCTGACACTGTCCTTCCTTCTGGAGGGGGGTTACTTTTGTTCCCCATGGTCCCTGTGTGTGTGTTGTAAAGTAGTCACCACTCCAAGCTTGCTCCTGTGATAGACTATAACTTCAATACAAATTAGTAAACTAAACATGAGATTGTAGTCCATCACAGGAACGAGCTTGGGGCGGTGGATACTTTACAACACACACAGGGACCATGGGGAACAAAAAGTAGCCACCCTCCAGAAGGAAGGACAGTGTCAGCATGAATTCAGAGATGAGTTGAGGATCTACAGCTGAATATTTCACAAATAAAATACATTTTTGTTAAAAGTTAGGGTACTTGAATGCATTTTTAAGACGTAACTCCTGAGTTTAGTGTCACCTTAAGCCCTGCCTACTTCCCTTCTGTGTCACAGACAACCCAAAATGGGCACTTTAATTTTTTATCTGTGAGGAAAGTGTAGGAACTCTAATATATAGGTATCTTGCTGCACTCCTTACCGGTACAGGATGTACCATGAAATCCCGGTGGGTGCTGGCAGTGACCAACCGATTGGTGCCGTGAAGATATATACAAGTTTTCAAAAGGATGTCACCAGCATACCATTAAAGTAAAATCAGCAAAAGTCCATTTTATGATTGGAGTACTGTCATTCCAGCACAAGTGCTTTTGGGGGCCGCACAGGGTCCCCTTTATCAGGCTCAGAGTGTAGGAACTGTGGTTCCTGTCCACAGGAGGATAAATGGCAGTTTATAAATAAGAAAGAAAATGTACATCACACTGCCAATATATCACACACAAATACTACTAGCTGTACATGCACATATGGGAAGTAGGGTGAAACAGCCTGAAATCATTGTGTAATTCTGGCCATCTTACCTTTAAAGTGTTGTAGGATAAGCTGCATCTTTTGTTCATGATCCTTCTGTTGTTGGGTAATCCTCCTGTCAGTTTGCAGTGCATGATGCTCCAAAGTAGACTCCAACTCTCTCACTATATTCTCCTGCTCCGACACTTTCATAGTCAGCTCTTGGCACTGCAGCTTCAGCTTCCATTCTGTCTCTCGAAGGCTTACGACCTGAAAAAGAAAACAAGTTTCTGCATGTGTCAAACACCTGATGAAGAAAAATCTCATTCACACATTTGTCTTCATTTTCTGATTAGTATCCACTTTTCTTCCTCTCACCCTTTTTAAACATTCTTCAGATTGTTTATAACTTTTACTGATTGCCATCGATAACCTGTATAGAAAACATGGCCCCTTGAATCATTCTAACTTAAAGTGGACCTTGCGCTACATGGGAGGTCTGCTGTTTCCCTTTGCCACCCCTTCCCTTTGCTGAAAACAGTGTTAAAAAAATCACCTCCAGGGATTTTGTTCTTACTCTAAAATCCTTTTCTCGGAATCCATTGAGGGACGCAGCTCTGAAGAATTTTGAGACGTAGGGTTATGCTGCTGCCTCCTGGAGAAATGGACACTAGAAAAAAGAAATCACAAGCCTGCCATTTTAAAGGACATAACCCCTCCCACCTCACACCTGCCAGTTGTAGCAAGCAGTATGAAAGGACATGACGGCGGGAGATGTGACTCAGAGAAAAAGATTTTAAAGGTACAAATGAAATCCTGTTTTCTGTATTATCTATTGAGGGCCACAGCTCTGAAAAACTCAGAGATGTAAAGACGTTCAAAAGCAGTCTAAAACAGAGGGAAGGGCACCATAAAAACTAGAAAAACCAGCTTAAATACTCAAACAGCAGCATGAAGAACTTTTCTACCAAAACTAGCATCAGAAGATGAAGAAACATCAACTTTATAAAACTTAGAAAAACCGTGAACAGAAGACCAAGTTGCAGCCTTACAATTTAAGTAATAGACGCTTCATTCTGAAATGCCCAAGAAGTAGTAGAGTAACTGCCCTAGTAGAGTGAGCAGGAAAAGGAGGAACCTTATCCACAACTCATAAGCTTGAATGACAACCTGGGAATCCACTTAGAAATAGCAGATCTAGAAGCTGAACAACAGTATCTAGGACCTTCATGTAGAACAAATAAAGAATCCGATTGCCTAACAGGAGTTGTGGCTGACAGATAAACTCTAACCGCCTGCACAAAATCCAAACAATGAAGATACATTTGCTTGGATGTACAGTAACTGGACAAAGTGAAGTGAAAACAATGACTTAATTTAAATGAAAGGCCAAAACCACAGTGGGTAAAAAGGAAACCTACGGTCTTAAAACAACCTTGTTCTTATGAAGAACAAAATAGGGTTCTACACAAGACAAAGCAGACAACTCAGAAACCCTTGTAGCCGAGGGAATGGACACAAGAAAGGCGACCTTTTTGAATAACAAAGACAAAGAAATGCCTCAGATAGTTTCAAAAGGAGGTTTTTAAAGAACAGATAAAGCCAAGTTTAAATGCCACATAGGAATAGGAGACCTAACAGGAGGAACAAAATGTGGAACTCCTTGAATAAAAGTAGGAATCAAGTAATTAGAAGCAAGAGGACTTTGAAAAAGAACCAACAAAGCAGATATTTTACCCTTTATGGTACTTAGAGCTAAACATTGATCTACTCCAGGTTGAAGGAAAGAAAAAATTCACAATATATAAAAAGCAAGTGGGGAAAATCCCAAGAACTTACACAAAATAAACCTTCCATGTATGGTGATAAATCTAACAAGTAGAAGAGCCTTAACCATAGTCGGTAGGGATGCACAGATACAAAATTTTCCAGACCAAGTACCTACACTCTCTTCCTCAAGTACTGACTGATACCAATTACCGATACTTTTTTGTAGTGTCATATGACAGTTTTTCTAAAACAATATAGACTAAAGAAACCTCTATCTGTCCCCCAAATTTTTTAACATATATTGCAAGGCTATAGTCAGGTCATGCTGACTGGTGACATTTTTGACTGACTGGTGAGACACCGCCAAATTTTTCAAGCCCTGCTAATCATTTTAGGACAGTGGTGGAGCGCTAGGGCCCGGTCCCAGCTGCAACCCTGGTAGTTCTGCCACTGACTCCAAGCTGTAGAGGGACTACAAATATCAGTAATACATTATACAGCAATGCAGAATATGCCCAGCTTTAGAGGACTACAAATCCCAGCATTACATTATACAGCAATGCACGGTCTCAACAGGGCTGTGTGCAATCTCACCAGGGCTGTGCGGACAGCGGACCACGTAGGAACCTACCAGCACCTATCTTTTCTACACTGGTCACAATGCTATATGGTGTGCAGCAGGCACTTTCAACAATTTATGGTAGAGAAAGATACTCCATTTTTTTTGTCAGTAGGATCCTTAAACAAAGAAGGGTCATCAATAGGAATAGTTAAAGCCTTGCTAAGATGAGAAATTGGAGGATCAACTTCAGGAGAAATAGACCATTTTTTTTTTATACAAAATCATCTGGAAAAGGATACAGAGGAGTTAAAGAGTCTAGGAATCAGAAACCTGCTTATCCAGAATTTCCCAATTCTTATATAAAAACCAAAAATAGGCTGAAGAGCAAAAACTTTGTAGACACGCTCAGGTTTATGTGAACCTAGACTAGAAATAACAGCAGAATCCTCTTATTTTAAAGAGAAATGCAGATCCTTAATTAGGAAGGCAGTCGTTTCTTTCTGATGCCGAGTGAAAATGTCACAGCCCAGCTACTGCATCAATGGTATGGCATAATGTTGATGGCACTCATACAGTAGGTGTGTTTTATTCAAGAGCTGAATCTATGTGCTATGTTCCTTAATCAAAGAAGGAACCAAGCACCTACGTAGGTGTCACCAATGTTTGGTCATTGTATAACTTTCACAAGTGCTGTCACTCCTTACGGAGTGAAAAGAACACCATCAGTATCCAGGGAAAGGGAGGAGGGAAATAAATATCACAAGTTTGTAAATAAAGCCAGTAGTAAGACGCAGAGTAGGAAAGGAAATAATTCACTTTCACACAGTTCCTTGCTAATGACAGTCTGACCTGTGTAAGGAAAAATTATGGAGGTACTACAACCACCTGCTCCAGACAGCAGAAGATTTGGCTGTGTAATGGTAAAAAAAAAACAGGATGATATCTCTGTTCCCCCAACAAGGGACATGAAAATAAAGGTAAATTAGAAACAAAGGAAGCAGAGTTGAAATCGCTCTACAACTCAGACCACCTTCACCTGATAAGAAACGTACTACACCGCTCTGAGGAAACCAGAAAAAATGGATTGCGCATGCGCAGTAGATAAGTCCTGACCTTTTAAAGAGATGGTAGGAAATTCCACTAAAATCAGTCACATCACATAAAAGCATTTAGTCAAATAGGAGTATAAAAGCACACAGCCAAAATTAAAATAAAAAAGGAGAGAAAATGCACAACTTTATAAACATTTTTTTTTACTCACGACTCCATGGCCCTGTTCCCAACATAACAACAGGAATCCCCAGGTAATACTGACCTGACCGTTAAAGGATGAAAACACGAACACAGGACCACCGCAGGACAAAGCATATATACTAAGACCTGAAATGACCTGCTTCATGAAAACTAGAGAAACTTCCAGGATTTAAGTTATCTGACATGAATCTCTTAAATTTTGTCAGCTAGCTAGATTTCCAGGATTTAATAATATCTGGTATGAATCAATTAGCAGCTCTTGATAGTAGAATCTTCAACGTAGAAACAAAATAAACTAAAATAATAAAGCAGAATACACTAAGCGAAACTGGCAGATGTCCTTAAAGCAACAGGCTTTTTCATTTGTTTGCCTAGTGTTCATTTCTCCTAGAGGCAGCTGCATAACCCTATGTCTCAGAATTCATCAGAGCTGTGTCCCTCAATGGACGACAGAGAAAAATATATTACACTCCCCTTTCCTCCAGTGCCCGTGGTGCAAGGGGTAACATAAGCATCCACTGACAAGGTCCTGGGGAAAGGTGGGCACTCCAATCTTACTTCAGCACAGTGCTGGGGGGTATCTTCTTAGTGGGGTTTTAAGTCATTTACATTTCCCAGATCTTGTCGGAAGGAGCATGATGACACCTTTGCCTAGGTGGCCCAAGTTGAAGGCAGGGGAAAGGTAAGTATAGGATAACCGTTTTCTCTTATACATGATTTTTAAACACTTTTTTTTAAGGCAGTTCAGCAAGGGAAA